AGCCGCAGCACACTCAGATCCCGCAGGATAGGACCAGAACTGGGGGTCACCTCTGGAACCTGCAGAACGAGACACGAATTACCCCATACGTTTATCTCAGATCTTCTATTTAACAATATTCACCTGGTACCACAGACCTTGTTGGCTGTTAGGTCGATCTCATAGAGCTCTGTAAAGATCTGGAAGGAGGTCCAGGACAGAGAGGAGAACAGGTTGTGTGGAAACAGTAGAACCTGAAAAAATAAAGTCATTAAAAAGATTACTGTGAGAAGGTTCAGAATTTCTATCTGTTCCCAGCAGAACGTCTGTTAGCACCTCCCAGCATTTCAAGTCTTTGGTTCCATGATGGTTTAACTGGAGATCTCATCATGTCTGTTTGCTTAGGTCAGGTTCACTGTGAAAAGTCCTCACAGCTCAGATAAAAGGTTTAAACTTGACTCAGAACGTCAATTCAAACCTGTTAAATGAGAAGGTTATGTCCCCTTTAAAAAAGCTGCTGTGCCTCGGGGCTTCGTCACGGTTCTTTTCCTGGGAGCAAGTTATTTACTACTCTTAACTCAAACTGGGTAATAACATATAAAAAGGACTATAAAACAGGAGTTAAAAAGTAACAGAGTTTATTCCAGATCAGGTCGTTACAGGACAGAGAAAATGCTTGGAGCTTGCACAGCTGTGGGCTCAAAAATCACGCCCGCGAGCGTCCGGCAAAGATTGAGCCCCGAACAAGGTCATCTTCTCCTTCTTATAGCTCATGAGTCTATGTGTTGCCCCAGGTGGATGCTTGGTTGTCCGTATCAGAAACTGACACGCCATCCATGCCCAAGAATTACAGATAGCTCTCCTCTATCAGACCGGCTCCCATATCCTGTGTATTTTTAAAGACATAAAGGCTGTCCTGATTAGATGACCTCCGTACACACAGTGACATCCACAATGTGTAGGAAGGCATTCTACTCTCTCTAATTCGGCTAGCAAAGTAACAATGCACATGATGTATAAAGCATAAACCTAACAAACCCTTCCAAACAAAGTAAAACATGCAGTGACGGTTCTAGACCAAATGAACCAGGGGCCCAAGAGGGGGCCAGCGTGTTTTCATGGGGGCACAAAAGCTTGAAGTAAAAAACAGGGCAAGGGATTTAAATATATTAATATAGCTGCATGAAGTGAAATTTCTATTTAATTAGATTTAATTAAAATTCTAAGTCTCAATAGGTCAATATACATTACATATTTTAGAAATTTTACATTTTCTTTTGACTTCAATTAAGTTAAAATTACAGTTTTTTACCAAATCTGAACTATAACTCAAGAAAAACTGATAAATTCAATAGTATTTTTTTTATTTCTTTAAAAAAAGACATTTAGCAGATGGAAACTGGGATCCAATCTCAATACCACTGAAGCTATCACCTTATTGTTTTTAAATAATTAGTAAAACGGATATTATAAAGGAGAAAAAAAAATGAAATAGATCCAAAAGAACAATGAGTAACCATGTCTGTTCCAGCGCAACTCATCATTAACAAATCTTTCAGTGTTATGTCTCCAGTACAGGGGCCATAACAGGGGCCAGGACATGATCTACAGGGACACTGGCCCCCGTTGGCCTGTCTAGAACCACACATGAAAGCAGGAATAGATCAGAGGTCTCAGCTCCTCCACAGATACTAGAACATTTGGCAGTGATCGTTTTATACAGGAAAAGTTTAACAAACAGTCATTTTGTTCTAAAATGCTTGAAGCCTCTGATCTTCATGAAGGAACCGGGTCACGGTACCTGGGTCGTGTATTCCAGTCCTGCTGGGATGTGACTGAATCCGGCTCCTGTGCAGTTCTCCCTGGGCCGGTGGTCCTTATCCCTGTCGCTATGACAACCAGGCACTGAGCCCATGGCTCCATGGAGGAGGAGGAAGAGGAGGAAGGAGAGCCTCATGTTGAAGGAGATCCTCATGAAGAGCAGATGTCTGTGAGTCTGAGGAGAACCTCAGCAGGGTCTGAATCCTGTTTCTGTTCAGGCAGTTTGACAGACAGCTGCTGCTGCAGCAGGAAGTGAGATAAGGCTCCACGTCTTCAGCTGGGTTTTTATTTAGACGCGTTGTCCTGGGAAGCTTCATCAGGGTGTGATGTTGGCTTTAATTATCAGGAGAAGCAAAGTTCCTGCTGTTCTCACCACAGAACAGATAACTGGAGGCTCTGAAGCAGCAGACAGGAAGCCAACGATACAGAGATGTTTTTATTTATCCTTCTTCACGGAGAAAAGAAACAACTGAGCAGCTGCTTCTCTATGAGAAACTCCTACTAAACTAACGAGTCGGCTTCATGCTTAATTGATTTTGTTTTTTTACATGTTGGGTTATTGCTAAGATGTCTTGTTTTAGTCAAAGTAGAAAGCCCGTCACATCAGTGCTGTTTGTTTTAACATCTCATTTTCCCCTGCAAAACCTTATTAGATAAAATATGATAAAGCAGGAAAAAGGTGGACACTGATCCAAATGGACCGGGTTCCATTCATTCACAGATGTATGGACATGTTTGTGCTTGGTGAGTTTACAGCAAGTTTCAGCCATTGAGAAAAAAAACCATCCAGCACTACTGTGAGGGAAAAAAACAACTAAGAAAAGATTAGATTTACGAATGCCTGTTAGGTCTGAGGAAACCGGAAACCATTTGCACACGTTTTTACACAGTAGCAACCTATTTGTTAATGAGGTAGCATCAGCGTCAAAGCCGTACATTTGTATCTCCAACACAAAATGATTGTCAGATCCATTTA